AGAAAGAGAGTGAGGAGAGTTCGGGTGATCTCTTGGACAAATCACCCATTAGGAGAGTTCGGGTGATCTCTTGGACAAATCACCCACGCGATTGCCACCATAGGGTCTGTACACAAGGACAAGGGCAAGGGCAAGGGCAAGGGAAGACAGGAGTCTCTCCCGGTGGACCGACCCGTGACGAGATCCTACACGCGGGCCCATAACAGGGTTTCTGAGTTATGGCTTAGATCTCTCCTTGATGAGATGGATGTTTCATGTGACGAGCCACAGATGTTGTATTGTAATAACCAGTCTACTATTAACATTGCTCACAATCCGGTTCAGCATGATAGAACTAAGCACATTGAGGTAGATTGACACTTTATATGGGAGAGAGTGGCTTTGGGAGAGGTGTGCCTTCCTTTCATTGCATCAGAAGAGCAACTAGCAGATTTTCTAACTAAGGGAGTTCCAAAGCCAAAAGCTTCAACATTATGTAAGCAAGCTTGGGGGAGTGTAGTGAGAATGGGCTGAATGGGCCTTAGTGCTTTTTATTTCTTTTAAGTAGTATTTAAGGTTATGTTTGTTGGTTATGGGCCTTAGTTATGGATTTTTTTTTTTTTGTTTCTTTAATTATTTCTTTAGTGCCGACTGCCCCATTAAGGGCATCCTGGTAATAATTGTACTTAATTTTAGAATTAAGTTAATAAAAGAGATCAAAGGGGCTTGAGAGAGAGGTTCAAACTCTTCTTTTCCCTCTTCCCTTCTCTTCTTCTTCCACAACCTACTACTGAAACCACTTTCTTCTCCTTTCTCTTCCCTTCTTTCTTCCTTTTCCTATATTTTCTGAATTACTACAGGTGTATTTCTCAACTGCACAGCATGAGAAACAGCAGAGAACTAACCAATAATATCACACAGAATACTGCTCTCTTGGTAACAACCAAATAGAGGGTCAATCTACACTACTACACAACCACCAATCCTGTCACACAGGGTGACAGCAAGAAAGGAAAGAAAAAGTAGGTGTATGAAAACTCCCTACCTGTTCTGCCTTCACAGCCTCCTGATGTGTTTTCAGAGCTCTGATACTATGATATAATATCTGAGCTTTCAAATAAACCCTACTGGAGTCGGTAGGAAAAAAAGAGAAGGGAGATAGAAAAGAGAGTAAGAGAGAAAGATAAAAGAAGACTGGAGGGCTGAACAAAACAAGCTAGCCCATCTCACCAGTCAACTGTTATTTATAGATTTCTAAAGATAAGTAAAATGACACTTACACCCCTGATTAAGTATGAACTGCGTAACTTAGTTAGAACATGACTGTTCATTTACATAGAATTAGAACATGATGAAATGACTGAAACACCCCTGATTAGTTGACTTCTAATGACTATCATACTAGCTTGTGTATAAATTTTTAGGTAGAACAATTATAAACTTCTATTTCCCATTACTTAAATCTTTTTATGTTGATTATATCTATTTTTCACTTTATGATAGAGAATACAATTTATTTCATTGTATTTCAGGCAATATTTAAGCGCTATCCACGCCCCGAGAAAGAATATCAATCATTTTCTCTTATATACAGTGACAGATCATTGGATTTGGTGAGTGTTTCTGCTTTGTTGCTCTTGCCTGCATACAAACATTGCTGCATTAAAAAATACAAAGAGATTTAAAATAAAAGTTGTGCTATGGCAGTGAAGAAGTATGGTACCCAACAGATCCATAACCAATCAATTGGTATTTTCATTTAAATTCACGTGTATTTTCCTTAAAATAATTAGTTCTTCAGACTAAGCTTTGAAGGTTAATATACAATTGTACCATCCTACTCATTTAACTGTCTTGGTTTAAAACATTATGAACTATGACAGATATGTAAGGATAAAGACGAAGCTGAGGTATGGTTTGTTGGTCTGAAGGCATTGATTTCACGCGGTAGCTACCCCAACTGGAGAAATGAATCAAGGATTGATAGAATTTCATCAGATAGTCCATGTGGCAGTACTCAAAGAAACTCCCACAATTTTTTTACCTGTGGCAGTAGTGATACCTTTCATAAGGTTTTCTTGCTATGATGATCATGTAACTCTATTTATTTATTGAATACCTTTTCAATTCAATTTTCATGTCAATTTTGTTTCCCAACTTACAGGATCCTGGAGTTACCGAACGAATTCAGATTCCTCATGAGAGTTCTCCACGTAGTGGTCTGAGAAAGGCATTCTCTGATGTGATATCATATACTGCAGTTGCCAAGGGTTCTACTCAATCAGAAGCAGTTGCCAACTCTCTTGGTTCATTCTCATCTTCTACTGCTGATGATTCAAATGGCCGGGCTTCTACAGTTGATAATTTTCGAGTTAGTCTATCTAGTGCAGTAAGCCCATCAAGCCAGGGATCTTGTCATGATGATCTTGATGCACTGGGTGATGTTTTTATCTGGGGAGAAGGCATTGGTGAAGGGGTCCTGGGTGGTGGTATGCTCAGAATTGGAAGTTCATCTGCCCCCAAGATGGATGCACTTCTTCCAAAGGCACTTGACTCTACAGTGGTGCTTGATGTCCAAAATATTGCTTGTGGTGGTCGACATGCTGTGTTGGTCACTAGGCAAGGGGAGATTTTTAGTTGGGGAGAAGAGTCAGGAGGCAGGCTTGGTCATGGAATAGAAAAAGATATTTCCCACCCAAAGCTCATTAATGCTCTCAGTGGAATGAATATTGAATTAGCAGCATGTGGTGAATATCACACGTGCGCTGTTACACTATCTGGTGATCTTTATACATGGGGAGATGGTACTCACAATACTGGTCTTCTTGGGAATGGAAGTGAGGTTAGCCACTGGATCCCTAAAAGATTAAGTGGCCAAATGGAAGGTACACATGTGGTATCAATCTCTTGTGGACCTTGGCATACAGCTGCCATAACATCTTCAGGCCAATTGTTTACATTTGGTGAAGGTACTTTTGGTGCCCTAGGCCATGGAGATTGTAGCAGCACAAGAATTCCAAGAGAAGTAGAATCCCTCAAGGGATTGCACACAGTGAAAGTAGCCTGTGGTGTTTGGCATACTGCTGCTGTGGTGGAAATTGTGGTTGAGGCCTCTGGTTCTGATATCTCTTTATCTCGAAAGCTATTCACCTGGGGTGATGGGGATAAAGGCCGACTTGGGCATGGTGACAGGGATTCTAGACTAATCCCTGAATGTGTAACTGCTTTGAATGACACTGATCTTTGCCAAGTAGCATGTGGGCATGACATCACAATTGCTCTTACAACCTCAGGAAGAGTATATACAATGGGAAGTACTGTTTATGGGCAGTTGGGCTGTCCTAGATCTGATGGAAAGCTTCCCACTTGCATTGGAGGTAAGATCAACAACTGCTTTGTCCAGGAGATAGCATGTGGTTCTTATCATGTAGCAATTTTGACTTCAAAAGCCGAGGTTTATACATGGGGAAAGGGGGCAAATGGCCAATTAGGACATGGAGATAATGATGACAGAAATGCTCCTACACTTGTTGAAGCTTTGAAAGATAAACAAGCTAGGAGTGTTGTGTGTGGTTCAAATTTTACTGCTGTCATCTGTCTCCATAAATGGGTTACTGGTGCTGATCATTCCATTTGCTCCAGTTGTCACAATGCATTTAATTTCAGAAGAAAGCGTCACAATTGTTATAATTGTGGGCTTGTATTTTGCAAAGCATGCAGCACTAAGAAATCTCTAAAAGCTTCATTGGCTCCAAACACCAACAAGCCTTATCGTGTGTGTGATGATTGCTTTACTAAAATTAAAAACTCAATGGATTCTGGATTAATTTCTCGATTATCTAGGACTCAAAGTGGAAGTATAAGTCATGTTTCCAGTGACTTAGCAGAAAAAGATCAGTTGGATTCTAGATTACATGGGCAACTTTCAAGATTCTCCTCTGAACCACTGAGGCTGGTTGAGAGCAGGCAGCCCAAGGGCAACAGAAAAGTAGAAAAAAGGTTCTGCACTAGCTCTTCTCTTCGGGAGGGAATTTCATCATGGGGAGGTTTTTCCTCATCAAAAACATTAGCCTCCTTGATTGGAAATTCAAAGAAAGTGTTTTCTGCTTCTGTTCCTGCCTCAAGGACAGGTTCTCGTTCAACATCTCCTGCATCAAAAAAGCCAAGTCCACTTCACTCAGCAATCTCTGCACCACATATTCCTTTTCGCACCTCTCGAGTCAGTTTTGATGATTCAAAACACACAAATGACAACCTCATACAAGAAATTATTGGATTGAAGGCACAGGTAATTATTTCTCTGATGCATGTATATGGCAGTAAACATGGTTGTAGTAACCCATGTTTGAGAGTGCTTATTTATAAATAAGTGCAATAGGTGAAAAAGCACCTATTTCAAACAGGGGTAGTATAGGGTATTTTCAAAATGATGTGGTGGGCCAAGATGGGCCAGAAAGGAAATAAGAACTTACTGAATAAGCACTTAAAAATAAGCTCAAAATTTGGGCTTCTTGAATAAGTGCTTATTTGCAAGAATAAGCACTTATTTGGGCTTATTTCCCAAATGCAAATAAGTGTTCATTGATGTGGTCCTGGCCCAAAATAAGTTCTTATTTGATAAGCACTTAAAAATAAGCACTCCCGAACTTATCCGTAGTAAGAAATGATTGAATTGCACATAATTTAACAATGGATAAGGCACTAAACATAATGGAATGGCGAAACAGGAATCATGTAGCCAACCCCATATGGTTGGGATAAGGCTTATGATAATGATGATGTGCACACACAAAAATAATAAAAGAGATGGGACTTTAACTTTTTTCAGATTACATTCTTCCATTACTTTATTAATTTTTCATTGTTTATATCTGCTTCACAACATTAAGATATTAGAATAGGAACTCCAACTGAAAATCCATAAGGGCAATTGCTAGTTATGACTTACACAGAAGTGAACAAGACCAAATAGAGAGAAATAAAGAGAAGAGGAAATTGGTGGGAGAAAAGAACTTATACCGTGAGACAACACTAAAGAGACAAAAAAATATAAGGAAAAAGACATAAATAACCCTAACTAACTCAACTCAACTCAAACTCTTTGAAAACAAATTAGCTCACTAATTTTCAAATCTCACACAGGAAAAAGACAACTCCATTGAGTACTCTCTCTCACTCACTCATAAAGTGTAGTCAATCTCTATGTGCTTATTCCTTTCATGAGAAATTGGATTTAATGTGATGTGGACACCAACTTGATTGTCATAACACAACATAGGAGTCAACAAAGAGTATCTAATCTTTTCAAGTTTTGTAGCTAGACTAGTTCACCATAACCCTATACTCTCAGCTTTAGCACTACTATTGGCAACTATACTTCACTTGACAAGATTACCTCCTAGGAATGTGGAATCTCAAGTAGTAGATCCTGTCAAATGTGGACCCATCCCAATAAATGTTTGTATATCCTTTAATTTCTAAATGACCATTTGGAAGAGCTTTTTTAGATACAAGTCTAGTGCACAATTTTGTTCAATGCATCCCAATATGGAACTTGAGGATTCTGTAGTAGACCCTGTCAAACGTGGACCCATCCTAATAAATATTTGTATATCCTTTAATTTCTAAATGACCATTGAGAGGAGCTTTTTAGATAGCAGTCTAGTGCACAATTTTGTTCAATGCATCTCAATATGAAATTTGAGGATTCTGTATAAATTGACCCACAACACTAACTGCAAAGGAAATATTTGGTCACATAATCAAGTAGTTTTCCAATAAACCTATTCTACCTTTGTTTGGCCTAAGAGAAGGGGAAGGATATGTGGAGAAGTGTAAGAATATCTGTAATTTGGACTCTTTGGGAAGAAAGAAATGCTAGAATCTTCTCAGAGATGGAGAGAAGGAAGCAGTAAGAGATCGTGTTATGGTGAGGGTGATGCACTAGATTAGAACATTGGACTCTTTATCACCATTTTCTTTTGATGACATATGGAGAAGTTGGGAGGTGGTGACCAGAAGCTCATCAAGAAAGGAAAGAGCAAATTTAATGTGGAAGCTTCTAGCTGAAGATTTTGTGAAACTAAACTTTGATGGGAGTAGTCAAGGCAACCCCAGGGCCCAGGCCCCTTAGACATAGGAGGGGTGTTGAGAGACAAAGAAGGAAATGTCATTGCTTTGTTCTCAGGTCCAGTAGGAGTAGGAGATTCCATTAGGGAGGAGTTGATTGCTGCATTGAAAGGGGTACAAATTGTGAGTTAAGTTTGATAAATGTGGAGATTAAAGGGGTTCAAAATTGGTGGTAGGCTGGCTGAAGGAACCAGTCTATAATTTGGTGCTTTAGGGATGAGATGAAGAAATTTAGATGGCTTACTAGAAGTATGAATGTGAGGATGCATTGGGTTAGGAGATCAACTAATCTGATGGTGGATGTACTAGCTAAGCAAGGGGTAAATAGGGATGACTTGTATTGGGCTCAGCTGTGCTTGACAATTTGTAATATGTTTTTAATCTGTGAGAAGTAGCAGTTCGTGCCTCTCTGCGGGGATGCTTGTATTGCCTATGTTTACTACTCATTAATAAAATTTCACTTATCAAGAAAAACAAAAACCTCGTATACCTCCCCAGATCATCAAATAGTTCACCTTGATTAGTAGTGCCCAACTTAAAGTTGGGATCCATTGGGGACTCTACTAGTTTTTTACCAAAAAAATCATAATCTTCAAGTAAATTTAGGACATGCCTCCTTTGAGATAAATTGATGCCACTTTTTGATCTAGCCACTTCAATACACAAGCAAATGCTATTTTCATTGCCTTAGTGCCCAAAAAGAAGCGAAAACCCCAAGGGACTTCAGGCCTGTAAGTCTGGTGGGAAGCCTTTACAAAATAATAGTTAAGTGCAAAAGTATTAACTGGCAGGCCAAAAAACGTTTTACCCTCTGACCTCACAGTTTCAAGGTGTCTTTGTTGAGGGTAGACAAATTGTTGATCAGAGAAGGCTTATGATTATGTGGACTGATCTTTCCTTCTTGAGATTATGGAGAAGTTTGAGTTGGGGGAAAGGTGGAGAATATGGATTAAGGGGTGCTTGAGCTCAATGCATAGATATCCTTCACTACTACCATCCATTTGTTCTCCGTAAATAAATTTGGGGAAAACCTGTGTTGTAAGGGGTGCTTTTGTGAATGTTTCAGGCACAGGGGGTTTCTTGTAATTTTTCTTTCTTCCAAGGACCACTTTGTAATTATTTATCTTATTAATATATTAGGGTGAAGTGGGAGCTGCCACTTACCCATTCAATTTTTCCCTCATTTTGTTCATTGTCTTCTTCCTTTTTCCTCTCTCCCTTCCTCTTCTCTCCTAGAATATGTTGTGACTGATTACATGGTATCAAAGCAATAATCTGTCACAAAATATTCTAGGTTTCCCTTCTCTTCTTCAACACATTAGTTCATTTCTCAAGAGGATATAGTTCATGATTGCCCTGTGATCTGATCGCCTCATCAAGTTTTTCATTCCCCATTCCTTGGTCATAGGACGAAGTTGTGTTTTCTTGTTTCTGGGCTGACCGTCAAGTGACCGAAGCATGTAAGAGGACCACAGAAGTTATATAAGGAATTTTTTTTTTTTTTTTGCTGGGTTTCTGGTTTGGACTGTGTTTGAAGGTTGGTTGAAGGCTGTTATGTCCAAGACAGGTGCTGGTAGTTAACCGTAAGGTGTGTTTGGTTTAAGGGAAGTTATTTTTTGGTGATCAGCTTTATGTCCAAGTGGTTGCAGTCCTCGAGTAAGTGTTTCTAGGCTTCAGTTTACCCTTCCTAGATCAGTTCTTGTGCTGTTATCTTGGACTGCTGCAGTCATGTGACTGAGTGTGCCAGAAAAAACCCTAGTCTTTGGAGTTTGGATTCTAAAATAGTGTGTTTCAGTTATGTCCTTAGAGAGTTCTGTCACTTCAAACCCTTCTGGGGGACTAGTTAGTTCTGGTAGTGGGATGGACAGTGTTGGCTTCCTTGTATCTATTGTCCTTATTGATGGACTGAATTGTTTGGAATGGTCCAAAAGTATGAAGATGTTTGTTGGAGCCAAAGGAAATTTAGGGTACCTTACCAGGAAAACTAAGAAGCCTACTAATGAAGGGGCTGAATATGAGAAGTGGGAGCAAGAGAACTACCTTATTATGTCTTGGCTTACATCTTCCATCCAGCCTGCACTTAGAAAGAATTTTATGTGGGCTGAAATAGCCAAGGAAATTTGGGACCAAGCAAAGGCCACATTCTCTGAACAAAGGCATTTTACTCGGATCTACTAACTTCAAGTGGAGTCAGTTGCGTTGAAACAAGGAGAGAAGTCTCTTGCAGCCTATTATTCTTCCCTCACTTCCATCTGGAAAGAGCTAGACCACTACAAGTCTATAGATTGGAAGAGTGAAGAGGATGCTTCTGCTTGCAAGAAATTGATCTCTCAAGAAAGGGTGTTTGCTTTCATAGCAGGCCTGAATTTTGTTTATGAACCTATTAGAGTTCAGATTTTGGGTGGTAAGGGGCTTCCAAGACTTGAGGAAGTGTTTTCTTTGGTACAATCTGAGGAAACTATGAGGGCTGATATGAATCCTCCTGAAGGAGAGCAAGTGGCTTTATTGTCTAAGGGGGACAGCAAGAAGAGTGAGGTATAAAAGAAGGGAGGAAGTGACAAAGACAAGTTTTAGTGTACTCATTGTAAGAGATCTAGACACACAAAGGAGTTTTGTTGGGATTTGGTTGGTAAACCTAAGAAGTTTCAAGGGAAGCAGAACAAAGGACCTAATGCAGCTAATGTTGCTTCTTCCACTACTAGCCATGATAGTCAGCAGTCTAGTCAGAGCAACACTGCTCCTGTGCAGCAAATTCAAGTAACCAAGCCAATGCTTTCAATGTTTCCCCAGTTCCTTCTCAGTCTTCCCAGATCATTAATTCAGGTGCTACAAACCATATGACCGGTAAGTCTTCACTTTTCTCTTCTTATCATATTTTGTCTGGAAAAGATAAAGTTAAACTTGCTGATGGCTCTTGTTATTCTATTACTGGACAGGGAGTTGTCTCTCTTCTAGTTGGCCTAACCCTTTGTGATGTTTACCATGTTCCAAAGATTCCTATTAATCTCTTATCTATTAATTGCATTACTAAACCTTTAAATTGCTCTATAACCTTCTTCCCTAACTCTTGTGTATTTCCAGATTTGACTTTGATGAGAATGATTGGTAGAGATTGCATGACAGATGGGCTCTACATTTTGGATTTAGCAATCTCTGATT